TTATCCTCTCTTTGTCTCCTTTCTCTCTTCCTCTTGTACTGTCTCTTTCACTCTATAAACTCTACCTATTTATTATTATATATTATATTTAAAAAATACCTTATAGTTATCGAAATTATATGCTAATAGAGGATTAGGATTACTAGTTTGGCTGCTGGCTACAGTACAAGCTTGCTTAGGTAGCCACAACCTAATCTGTTCTCCTACAGAAATACCAATTTTGATTTATTTATTTATTATTATTTTTTTTGTTATTTGAATATTTTTACTATTCGTCGACTATGTATCGTTATATATCTGAATGGAATAAATTACTTACTTACTTACTATATAGTAGTTATCAAATCATAATAAGCTCATTTCAGGAAGAATACAAGGCATCATATCGACGAAGTTCATTATACACATTCCTTCTCTCTTTATTGTAATACAGTATCATGAATGATTTTGTGCCATGTAGGTATTTCTCCAGAAATAAAACAAAGTCGATAAGCAACTTCATTTTGAAATTGCCGCCACGTCTGTCAATGGTCGAATTAGTTCGGCTTCTAAAACGCATTCTATTTGAGGGGTGTTTTCTTATATGCCTGACAAAATTTTCATCATGTACCAACCTGCACATTCAACACTCGAAAAATAGCAGGGAACATTGAATAAAACTATAGATAATTTTTTTATTCACAGTTAACACTTGAGCGTATGAAAACAAATAAAAAACAAAATATTTAGATTCCTCTTTTGCAGTTTTTTGCCATTTTTCGACTTTACTCATCAAATCATCCAGATCTCAAGACGAAGTATTTCGAGATTTTCTGCCTCATATTGACAGTATTTACAGGTCTGATAGCCGTTCTAGTCCTATTGAAGTTCTAAGATAATTTTTAATCACTTTTTATTTCGCAAAACTTTCAACTGTGGCAGCCAGAAAGGTCAATAATAGTAAGTATGCTGTTATCATCTCTAAGAACTTGATGTAAGGCAATTGCATTCAATCAGATATAATTCTGTGATTTCAGGTTTCATCAAGTATGCTTTCGAAGCAATTAATTGTCGATACAGATCAACTGACATATCTTTATTACTGTATTCAGCAGACAATTTTCTGGTGTCCTTTTTTTATTTTAATTAATTGTTCAAACAGATCAACATTCATTATCGTCCCAAAACAAGATGTGATTCCATTCATAGTGGGTGCCTAGTGAATTTTAACAGAATACTGAGAACAATCTCAGAATCAAATTTGTTTCAAAACTAATGGAGATTTCAATTGTAATTTTCATTTTCAAAAAAATCAGCACAGACGTCACTGGTGAAAATTTCAAAAAACTTCACAGGTCAATAATTGCTCCTTAATAATAAGAAGGTGTGTACGGAATTTCATGGGATTATCTAAGAGGATAAAAAGTTATTATGAAGAATTCACACCTTGTATTATCTATAAGGGGTGAACATGGTTGGAATTCATGCAAAGATGGTGGGCATGGTGGGGATTGGGCATCGTAGGAATTGGGCATCGTGGGAATCTATGGGCATGATGGGAATTGAAGGAAAGTGGGCATGGTGGGAATCGAAGGAAAGTGGGCATGGTGGGAATTGGGCATCGTAGGAATTGGGCATCGTGGGAATCTATGAAAAGTGGGCATGATGGGAATCGAAGGAAATTGGGCATGGTGGGAATTGGGCATCGTGGGAATCTATGAAAAGTGGGCATGGTGGGAATCGAAGGAAAGTGGGCATGGTGGGAATTGGGCATCGTGGGAATCTATGAAAAGTGGGCATGGTGGGAATCTCGTATTTTCTGATTTTTTCTCATAACCTGGCAACGTTGCGCTCTTCGGCAATCTTCGTAATCGTCGACATGAGATTGGGCATCGTAGGAATTGGGCATCGTGGGAATTGGGCATCGTGGGAATTGGGCATCGTGGGAATTGGGCATCGCGCTACGCACCCTGTGAAACTGCGCATGCTTCTGACCGTTCCGGACGCAAGAATTCAGATGACCATAAATTACTAATAGGCGATTTCTACGGACCAATCAGAAACAGCAAAGTAGCGCCTGCGTGGTTGCGATTCATCCTGATTGGACACAGCAGATTGGATTTGTGGGATTAGTGTATAGTGAGGAAGTATCATGTCATTGAATTAAACTAATAGATGTTTTTTCCAAATTAGTTTTTCATGAAAATGGTAGTTTCTTTTAATGATATGATCCTTCCTCACTAATACATTAATCTCAATCACCTGTGCCCAATCAGGATGAATCGCCACCACGCAGGCACTACTTTGCTGTTTCTGATTGGTCCGTAAAAGTCGCCTATCAGTAATTCATGGTCATCTGAATTCTTGCTGGTAGCACACCATAAGAACAATCAAAACAAATATCCTTTCTTGACAGTTTGTTGTTCTGAGAATGTATGTTATTTTGGAAAACGTCAAAACGTGATATTAGTAAATGTAAAGTTTTGTTTCTGACAATTTGCTTGGAATGTGATGATGCATTTCTCAAACATTGAGCTGAATGATATGATTCTCATGTCGGGTCGTTATTGTGCGGGGCCCATGAGACTCCTCGAAGGACACGAAATTGTAGCGATGCAAGGATGTGGAAGGAAGGGTCTAAAGGATTTTTCAGTAAAAGAACTTCCAACCGTGAGGTGTTAAGTTATACGCTATTCGAGCTTATGTGTAGAAATCTTGGGGGAGTCCATTTTAAAGTTTTTGTATTATTTTTCTGAAATTCAAGACCAGCGTTAACTTCTTCCCCATTTACATATTCTCGATTATACATTTTATTTAATATCTCCTAATTTTCATGTAGAGTGGCAACGTCGCTTCGTTCATCACGGTCGACTGAGGATCGCAAACGATAGTTGTGACAAAAGTAGAAATCTGAGCGGAAAAAGGGTATTTTGCCCCAAATCTATTTTGATCCAAATATTATTTTTAATAGTGCTATTCGGTAGTATACCTCAAGCTTTCTTAGTGTTTAAAATATATGCACTTAGTTCAAAATCAGCCTGTATAGAAAACGGGACATTGTATCAGAGGAAATAATATAAATCCTCATGTTGATAATCAAGATCCATAGTGTGTCGAATAATTGGCTGAATCTAGCCGTTTGTTTTAAAGTTTTTAGTGATGGAGTAGAAATTGAAATTCTGATAATTTCAATATTTGCCTATTTCCATGAATATTACCTTGTCATTATGGAATGCAATACCCTGTATATGAAATTATTATTTATTCGAATAGAGGGATTGATGAGGTAGAAATTAGAGGTGGAGCGTTTATTTTTACTGAAGATTCATCACGACTCAGAGCACATAATTCAAATCGATGCAGAATATTCGAAACAGCCAAAATCAAATGATTGACACCCTGTTGCTCGAAAGCTGGTCATAGGATCGATCTGTGAATTGAACCATGTAATAAGGACGCTAATATCTGAAACATTTGAAATTTTCAGAAAAATTATTTTCCGTACAAAATGTGCGGGGTCCTTTCCTAATGGATAAATGAGTTCTAGTTATCTTGTGAGTTTGAAATGAACTCATATGATGACAGATTTTTGGAGAACTGACTGATCCAGTTTTCGATCATGAAGTTGAAGCAACTGCCATGGATTTTGACCTACCATGACGATGAACTATGCTATCAGTGAAAAGTACAATTTCTTGCCCCTGTTGCTTATCATAAGTGATATCACGCTGTTCTGGATATTGAAGATAATTCTGTCGCTTCATTGTTCACGAAATTGTGCTGCCAAGCATCACCACGAGTCCTTCACCTTCAGGATAATTGGTATTGCAGTACGACAGCAAAATTGAGTTAACAATGATAGACAGAATCATGGGAAGATATTCAGAACAGAGTGGTCATTCATTCTGACAAGTTATTTTATGCCAAACTGACAGACTCTGCTACGCTTTCTATGGTTACATCGTTGAAAACATAAATGCTGATAGACCCATTAGAATTGATTGACAGCCAATGTTTTCGCGATAAGAATGCTCACGTTGTCTCTGGCTTGTGATTGGTCAGATTATGTGATAAGTGAAATAGTCATATGAAACCTCATGTTCTGATCTGCACGATCAACACTACTAACGTTCTCGTTAGAAGTCTTCATTGTATTTGTCTGGTTCACGACTATTCAATTTCCTCTTCTTGTTACAATCAATGAACTGTTGGTATATAGGAAGTACTGAAGAGACATTCGATTCGATGCGATGGTAACAGGTTTATAACATCATAATCAGAAATAGTGGCAAACAATTCAGAATTCAGAGAGTTATCGCTAGAATTGTTCGAATTTTCCTGCAGCTATATCACATTTCTCAAATTTATGATCTGATGGTCGACGAAGGATTCAGATAAGTACGTCGCTTTCTTCTTGTATGCCTTTTGTTATGATAATTCATCTTCGGATCGCAATTGTTATCCAGAAACATTCTGAATCAGAATATCATCTTCTTCATGATAGTCTTCACCAGTGATTTTTTCATCTTAAGGAGGTATTATGATGACATTTTGTGGACGCAAATCAGGAGCCTTCAGCTCATCCATCAACTCATTCAAAATCAGTGGTCTGAATTGGTGGCTGCAGAAAAGATTGATTCTCTCTCGTATTCGCTAATAAACACAGTTAGCCTAAAGTCCAATGGTCTTTTATGAAGGACCACTGACTTCAGAACAACTTTATGTGCATGTGAATATGAATTTTCTATAGTTTTCTATATTTCATTTTGGAATGATACATTGTTCAAGATGTTCTGAAACAAAACAAATATTTTATGAAAGATTCACGAAATCTTCCATCGATTCATTTCTCAATCCCCAAATAGTGTATCAACAGAGCAGGAATGGAAAAAGCGAGTAAACAATGAATGGAAGATATATCCAGTGACTTACTGCCACATTTGCAACTGTGAATTAGGAGATCTACCGATAAAATGTTTAATCAACCTGACTAACAGTTCCAACTCATTTGATTTTTTCAGATTCGGCACACCTGAAGAAGTGGCCAATATAGTAGCATTTTTAGCGTCAGAAGAATCGTCCTATATAACCGGTGAAAATGTTGTTGTGAATGGAGGAATACCTTCAAGACTATGAGGGGAAGAAGTTCAATCATTAAGGACTCTTGTACACAAAACATTGATATTTATCTACCATGTGTAGCACTTGGAACAGCAACACCTCATTTATATTTCATTAGTTCATTATACATGCATTATTGAATGATTTGATTTTTTCCCTCAACTTGTAGTATCTTCATATTATATATCCCTGATAATTCAATTCAGAATGCATCAAAATATTGAAGTCAGCAAATTAAGGGGCTTCTGAAATTCTATTTGTTAAGTTCGCATGGATTAGCTTATGTCTCTGATCATTTTTGAATAACTCATTAATCTACTCAATTACTAACTGACTGTTGGAAAAGGAAACCATTCTTTTGAACGTTTGACAGTCAACCTCTTTATGCCCATCAATTCTTTTGTGCACGTGTATAGGAAGAATATATGGCGCAGCTATCGAACGGATTCAACATAATATTGTAAAATCAACTATACATCAACGAAAGAATTATTTTCTAAAGTGTTTCTTGAATTCATATCAATAGAACGGATTTTCGAAACTTTTATACAGGGTGTTTGGTGCATCGCGTGCCGAATTGAAATGTTCGAATGAAGGGGTCATCTGCTATCCTTCAAGACTAGTTGACACCTTCCATGCCCTATGGATTATTTTTAATCGTCTTTTCATCTGTTTATCGAAAAAATACCCAAATTCCACATTCAAATTCAAATTTTGAAAAAAGTATGAGGCGTAGACTCTGGATTTAAATTTTATTCAGATGTGTATTGTGTAAGAGTACTTTCAAATACAAAACTAGTGACATAAGTCATCTAGTTTTTTTTTTAATTCACTCGCAAAGTTTCGAAATATGTAAAACTCAAATTGAAGCTTTGACTTCACATGGCTACAAAAAAAAGCGACCAGGATCTTTCAACTCCCTCAAAAGTTCTCTAGTCCATCCTCTAGCCAATAATGTGTCACATGCCATAAATATCTTTCAACAACTTTGTGAATTCGCTAGAAATGTCAATCAAGTCTCATAAGGCTATTATTCAAAATGATCATAAAAAAAATATTTTTACGTTAATGTTACTCCAGAAACAAGTGAAATTTATATTTCTTGCACAACGTAAATCTGTTTGGAACAAATCACGAACTGCCACCGATCCCATAATTTTTTAGTCGAGACATCACTGCCTCTGCTACCTAACGTGTTCATTTCATCGTACTCCGCGATTCTTTCATGCGTGGATTGGGCGCGATGGCCCTATTGTATGGCCGCCACGTTCCCCAGACCTAACTCCGTTAGACTTTTATGTCTGGGGACCTGCCAAAGGGCTGGTATACGCCACGGAAGTTCCAACTAGGGATGTACTAGTCCAACGCATAGAAACGGCCTTCGATACCATTAAGGAGGAAATACGATATCCAACAGCAACTGTCGAAATACGAAACAGATGTCGAGCCTGCATTCGCAACAGAGGTTAACAATTTGAGCAGGATTTGTGAGATTTATGAAATGAATGCGAAATAAATGTTGAAAATGCAATTTCATTTTTCGTTTATTTCAAGTATAATCCACGAAACAATAGAGATAAGAGACTGATTTTACCTCATAAGAATGGGATAACGAATTTAAAAGGTTCAGGTATCATTCAAACAAAAATGGTTTTTCAAATCATAATTCTGAATATTTGCCCTATGTAACTCGACTCACAATTCTAGCGAATTTAAAAAGTTGTTGAAAAATAAATTTTTAGAAGCATTTATTGTCTTATACCGTTGATTGATATATTACGCATCAACGCTTATACGTATGAGGCCATCCGAGCGCACGAGTGAGAACGATACAGCGGCGTTTTCGTGCTCTAGAAAAGAACAAACAGTAGAGATTTGGGAAGAATAACTGTCTCATTTGAGAATGAAGCGTTCTTGGTTGAATATGTAGGTGAATAACTTCAGTAATAACATGAATATTGCCCAAAATAATTCACTTCAGAGGCAACAAAGTGAAAATAGTATAGAAAAAAAACCAAGAAGATATTGGGAGATGCTAGAATTTTCCAAACATGAGTCCCCCAAAAAAATTCATCAACATTGCAGCTGCACAAACCATAGTGTACCAAAATATGTTGAAGAATTTTCATGACATGTTTGAATGCTGCTCAAACAATAATAGTGAATGGAGTTTTTGAACGAAAGCAACGTCAAAAAAATGAACATTCTCAGATTGTCATAAAAATGCAATGAATAAAGAAGGTGAGTCTATATAGTATACATATACAATAGTAGTTGGTTCAGATGGTATGTTCAATAGCCGTTTAATAAAACAGTCATCCAGCAGACATTTTTTCCATAAGAGTTGATATAAGTTTTTCTTTTCCCATTTTTTCATTATTTCAAGAGATGAAAGAGTTGAAAAGAACAGTCTATGAAAAAACAAAGATCTCAAAATGGAGAATTTCCAAACGAATTATGTTATTATTGTATTCGACAGATATGATGGCAGAATCTCTCCCAGCTAATAGAGCAATAAAGACGAGGAAGAACAAATTATAACAGTTTTCGGAAAGAGGAAGTCGCTTCATTCCTGAATCTCAGTGGTTTCAAGAGGCGTTCAGGAATAAACATAACCTGGTAATATTCCAAGCGAAAATATCAATTTGTGAAAATGATCAGATATTTAGTAATCCGAAATAAACCATCGCTGGATCGGGCATCGGAAGGGTGAATGTATAGGATAATAATGAATAATCCTGTTACTAACAATGTATTTCTGGAATGCATCCATGGCGTTGCAAATAAATATGTTACATTCACTGGAAGAATCCAAATCTTCCATAGTAATATTCTCTTTGGTCGGATGATACTGATGTTCTGTCATCATACAAATTTCTATTTCCAAATTAGCCATGCAGTCAAACTTCTCTTATATTCGACTTGTGTTAATTCTGTTAGTACCTGATGGTAGAATAGAATTTTGCAAACAACTACCGGCTTTACATGCCCTTACTGGATCTGATTCAAGTGATGCTATTTTCAAAAATGGAAAGATTTTGCATTAGATATTGCTCCGAAGAACAAAGACGACAGTGAGAGTTTACTCCACCAAAACTATTTGATTGTTTGGACATAGTAAGGAATTATGTAAGTTATGAAATTATATGCATTTAGAAAACGAAGATGCTAATGTCACGATCTCAGATCAGCTAATGAGACACAAATTTACTGTCAATACTTTGTCGAACTTCTTTCTACAGAAAATACATTCACAGTGTACGTACCGAGGTGCGTATTGTATACTCAATTCATTCCTGGATGTGCAATACAATATAAAATATATTGAAAATGTACAACTGCAATGATCATGTTGGAAGTTTACTGAAATCATCAGTATTTTCAACTCTACACCTATACATCCAGAGAGATACAATAAATGCTGAATATTTCTTGCTCTGACAAATCATGCTTTGAAAAAAAAGACAATGCAAATAAGTACATGTTTCTACAAGAGTAATAAAATGAAGGTATAATTAATCAGTTTTCAAGCTCGAAGAATTTCGGAACCGTATTATGACCCCTGAAAAAAATATCTGGGGGTGAGGGGGTTTTGACCCTACAATTTCTTTTAGGTTTCTTCGATCACCAAAAGGAAAGTAATCCTATGAAAAACACTAATGCCAAATTTGATCAAATTCGTTTCACTTATTTCTGACCAGCGTACAAAAATGTGTTTTTTATGTGAACTTTGAACCCTTCTCACGGACAAACGGTAAATTTTGACACATTAATAAATTCGGTCCAATCATCTCATTTTGACCTCCTCTAAACGTGGTAGGTCTGTGTCCCAGCAACTTTGGGACACCCTGAATAATAATCATTATTGTAAGTATAAAATCAACTTATCAAATGAGATGTGTATGTTTATATCGTATGATATAGTTTCAGATACCAGATATTCACAATGTGGATGCACTATTCAAGCCAGGAATGGGATAAATCAGAAGATATCAATTCTGGAAATGAAGAGGTTGGCTTGTGAATTCAACGATCTGGAACTGGATGATCTACATGCGATTAATTAAAATATGAACGTGTGTTTTGATCTCGTGGAGATTCGAAAACTCTTCGATCTAGCTGGAATATTTTCGAAAAATGAGAAAATTCTCGACTTCCCAATCAAAAGTTGTTCAGATTGTTCTGATTGGAATTTCCTCTTCACCTGAAGACTTCATATCCTTGATACTCATAACAGTTATAAATATAAATCAGCTCGGAACTATCGGTAGCAATCAAGTAGGAATCTTTATTCACGTTTATAAAAATGGTGAATGCAATTGATGGAACATCCTCTACAATGGAACTGATTTACTAGTGAGTTCAATAAAACACATATGTGAATGATACTTTTTAATCAATACAAATTAATTCACAGTCATCGGCCTTTTTTCTCACACACTTAACAATAATTTTGATGATATACAGATAACATACCTAATTCTCTACATGTCGTGGTGGTTGATGTCAACCACGCAGATGCAAGATAATGACACCTCCAAGTATCAAAAAGAATAAGTCTAATATCTAAATGTTTTTGTCCTCAAATAGTTGTTGGATAACAATCATTATTGATCTGAGAAATTTCATTAAGAATATTCAAATGGAGAAAAAATCGATGGAGAGTATATACAGTGGATTATGCAGAGTGTCATATGAGTATACGGCTAATAACTGAGAACAGTGTATAGTTTAGGTGAAAATGATACTGGGAGAATATTTTGAAAATACTCATTCCTGGAGGTGAACTTCGTAAAGGATGTGTCACGGATTGGACCACCCAGCATTTGAAGTCAATTTAGTCAATCAAAGTTCATATTCAATTCGCCCCTGTCATTCCGAGAATGTATACTTACATTATTCACGTTGAAGCTTCAACTCTTATTGTATAGTAGTTACAGAGTTACTTAAGACAGCTTGATCAAAAGGGATCGGCCGCACCCGCCGGTTCCTTTAAAAAGGCCAAACGGACCGCGGGTCCTGGCAATGATTTGATCTGAATTTTTTTCTTTGACTTCATGAAGACTATACAAGTTATCGTTTACTTCACAAGCTTCTTGAGTTAGATTTCGAATTTGTAATTGAAAAGTTCTTGAACATCATATGAGAGAGGCCAGGTGGCCACGAGGTAGAGGCGTCAGTATTTTATTCACTTTGGATTGCCGGTTCGTAGGTTCGTTTCCCTCGATTGCAGACATTGTTCTGATGGCCCGAGGAAGTTTTTGGGATCACATATCAGAAGGTAAGGCCCCCGTCATTCCTTGGTCGCACAAGTATGTCTAGAACACTTCTGAAGGTTGCTCGTTAGGGGGCAACCGAATGACGGATAGAACAATTTCAGGAAACATTTTCATTTGGTCAATCTCTAAGATGACAATTTTTGTTAATTAGAGAATTGATAAGAATCTGATATTTCAAGAATTTCGTTCGACTGTATCATATTGATGTGCTGAATGAATGTATAGTTATTTCAAATTCACCTTGTATTTCGCTTCGACAGTCTCGAGTAAATAAGATATCAATAGACCAACCCATTCAAACTGCACAATAGGTTGGGTTGATGAGGTATTTCCTCAGAATTCTGTCATGATATATGACTGATTAGTTTGGAAGAGTCCCTTTTCCGGAACCCAAATCACAACAAGGACGATCATTAAGGAACAATATTTACAGTGATGTTCTTTATGGAACCACGTATATCCGATGAGGGGAGTCGTATGATAAATTAAGTTTTTATGTATTCTATCTGAATAATTCAAAAAATTGTTCACATATCCTGAATCCCTAGCTTATATACCATCCGTATAATATTAGTCTCAAAATATATTATATGGAGAATTCAACTTGTACCTAATCCTAGGCACTCTAATGAACGTATAAATCTCATTATGATAATTAAAAAGGTTTCATCTTATTCACGCGAGAAATTGTGAATTAATTCGATTGTTACACATTAGTTGAGTATCGAGATGATCAAGATGTCATACGCAGGTATATTCAATTGATTGCGACAGTGTAATGTTTAAACAAAGTTCCATCGAGGAGGGAAATTCATATTAGTATAATAACGAATGATTCTTCACATAGGAAACAAAACCAACTGGTAACCTCAATCAGATGTATATCTCCAAGGCCGACATAGGAAATCACTCTATTTGTTCTTTCTGTAAAATTTTCACTTAGTTTCTACTCAATTCTGAGCATTTGCCGTATACTCATGTAACACCCTGTTCACATTGTTTATCGATTATTGTTAGATACATCGCTTGTTCGAAGTCATTTCCCAGATATGTTTTGAACTGTTCCATTCAATTTTATTCACTCTGAACATCAACTTTTTCAGTTCCAAAATTGAATTATTTAGGACACGAAATGAGTCATGCCGTGAAATTAATAAAACTATAGTCTAGTATAATTGAATTGTCAGCCAGGAACGTGTGTTGGGGTCTTCAAAGCTTTATAATCAGCATAATTAATTAAAAATTAGAAAATTAGACGAGCCAATCACATAACATCCTACAACTGAACAGGACGAAATTATTCGCATTCGATTTTGATGTTACACCTCAAGATGGTTTTCTATTTTTATTGATTGATGGATGATCACACTGATGATTTTACACTCCATAATCCTGAAGAGTGATGTGATATCTCGAAACAACTTCGAGATGTTTGCAATCTGGTCGAATTTCGAACTCATATATTTTTTCCATGATATATCTATGGATGAGAATCTGGGAAGAATCACTTATTCTTGGATATTTCCTCATCAATCAGAATATTTTTATTGTTTTGGAGGTACAGAGTAGGTAGGTGATCCAAAAAGTTGCTTTTGAAACCATTTATCAAGAACCTCCTGACCTTTAGTTTTATATTATCGGTTTTCCCTTCGTTCGAGATGATATCATTCGATACTCGAATGAATTCCTTTACATTCACATGTAGTAAGAGATCCATTCTTCACAAAACATATACTCACATAATGAATTAAACCAACTGTGATGTTTTGAATGACACGATAACTTTTCATCACAATCCATTGTGATCGATGATAAGGTCCGACGAAATTCCATATGGAAACAATATCGAGAGATTGAATTGCCAGACTTTGTCGTGAACACAAATCGTAGTTATAATCGAACACTAGAGAAGTCACTTTGTCTTGACGGATGAATGAGTCTTGAGTAGATTCCATTTTCTATGGAGTACAAAACTGTCCCATCTGACAAAAAAATCATATTCAGCGAACAGTCTAATCAATCCATAGAAATAAAAACAATCTGCCCATATAACATTGAATTTCATGACAACATTTGAGAAAATCAGAGACAAAATCAGACAACAAAATTAGCATCTGAAATCAGAAAATCGAATTGAGATCGATTAGGTAATAATTGCGGGGCACCGTAGTTTACTAGACAGTGAAGAGCAGGAATTGTAACTCTCTACATCCCCACATTACCAGAGACTTGATATCGGCGCCATCTCTGTTCAGTTCCGGCCCTCGAGGAGCAAGTTTTTGAAATCTCAAAATTTTATAAGTGACAATCGGTTTCTCTTCCAAAATAACCAAAACACGCTATACATTCGCGCACTGCGCGATTGAACGGGCTCAACTTCACTATGTAGTCAAATCCAAGATGCCAGCGTAAATAAACTGACCAACGCGTGATCTTATTCATTTCGAAATACTCTTCTAAGTTCTAAGCCCCTGGAACGCCATGTCCGTAGGCGAGAGTGGGGATGTACCGATTGCAAAACTGAATTTGTAATCACGTTATACAGTATTTACGGCTGGCCTTCGAAGTTTAAAATTATTGTCCATTTCCGGTTCTTCGGACATTGTGTACACGCTCGTCTTCACGGGGCGTTAGAGTACTTCAGGCTTCATGGAGATGACTCCATAGTCCGTGACGAGGTCAAAGAACTGGTGAAAGTTTTCGAAACCTCACAATGTTATAGTTGACAATCGGTTTGGTTTTCGAATTTGAACACGCTCTACAATCTACATGCGCTCACTACGTAACTGAAAGGGCTCTCACCTCACTATAGTATAGTCAACGCCAAGAGGCCAGCGTGAACAAACTGAATAACGCATGATCGTATTTGAAATACTTTTTTATTGGTCAAAGCACCAGGAGCACTTTTTATGTAGGCGAGAGTAGGGGAGTATTGTAGATCCGTTGATCTTCAGTTCCGATTCCTCGGGTAGAGTGAACACGTCCGTCTTCACGTGGCCTCATGCGGTCACTTCCGGCATCTTGCAAATTATTTTGATGCCTGTTTCGAGGTCGAGGAACTAGTGAAAAACAGCTTGGCGAGTTTGAAAACCTCACAATGTTATACGTGATAATCTGTTTCGTTTTCAAAGTAACGAGAACACGCTCTACAATCTACATGCGCCTACTACGCAACTGAAACATCCATGGAACGACCCCTCACATCACTATAGTACAGTCAACTCCAAGAGGCCAGCGTGAACAAACTGAATAACGCGTGATTGTATTGGTCAAATAACCAGGAGCATCTTGCCTGTAGGCGAAAGTAAAGGTGTACAGTCTGTAGAACCGCATAAGTAATTACGTTCTTGATGCGTGGTCACTGTATGCTACAGTGTTGACGGCTGGCCTCTTGGGTCTGAGAGTACTGTAAAATTCTCCATTGATCTTCAGTTCCGGTTCCTCGGGTAGAGTGAACATGCTCGTCTTCACGGGGCATTATTCAATCACTTCCGGCATCTTGGAAATCATTTGGATGCCCTATTCGAATTCGAAAAGCTGGTGAAAAACGACTTGCCGAGGTTTTGAGACCTCACAATGTTATATGTGACAATCGGTTTGGTTTTTAAAATATCAAGAACACGCTCTACAATCTACATGCGCTCACTACGCGACTGAACGAGTCCTCACATCACTATAGTTTAGTAAACTCCAAGAGGCCGACGTGAACAAACTGAATAACTCGTGATGGTATTTGAAATACTTTTCTATTGGTCAAAGTTCCAGGAGCACTTTTCATGTAGGCGAGAGTAGGGGTTAACCGTCTGCAAAACTGCACTAGTAATCACGTTCTTGATGCGTGCGTACTGCATGCTACAGTGTTAACGGCTGGCCTCTTGGGTTTGAGAGTACTGTCGAGTTAGTTCGCCGTCTTCATATTTCGGCGCTGTCTTCGTCCAGTTCCGGTTCCTCGGGTAGAGTGTATACGCCCGTCTTAACGGGGCCTTCTAGTACCTCTGGCATTTTGGAGACGATTTCGTGGTTCGTACCAAGATCGACGGTGGTAGAGGTGGGTGTGCCGCCCGTGCTCAAGAGGGTCTCCTCTGTCATGTTCCTGCAACGATAGGGGGGTGAGGATTAGTGGAGGAAAGTTCATCTTTTGGTTTCACTATATATTTTTCATAGTTTTTATTGAATCATCACTCAATATTACCTCTTAATTTCATATTATCTCAGATTTTTTCCGCAGGAAGCAACTGACGTTACCATTCCGTAAGAAGGACAGACGATACGACAGTTGCCATACATGTTGAAATACAATTCAGAAATATTATGCATTTGATGAATATAGAATATAGATTTCCAATTGTGTATATTCTCAATTTGGCTTGAAACATTTCAACTATATTGAAATTGATCCTCTAATGTGTAGTGTTTTAATGCTTATACAGGGTGTCCTCGCAGGGACAACATATTAAACGTATTAAATGTACCGACTGGGACGTTCGTAGAACTATTTCTCTTGGACATTGGGAAACGAATTGTCATTCGCTTGATTGAAGGACATTTATATAGGATGTCTATCTGAAGTGCTGATGCAAATGTATAGCACCGATGGGCTACCCCTAATCGTATCTAAGACATTCTGAGAACGTCCTTGGAACGTCCATAAGGCGTTGTATCCAATATCTTATGAAATTATATTTCCTGGAGATTATTCTCGTACTCATTTCTCAGACATATGGATTAGGTATAGGTGTTCCTTTCGGAGTCATAACAGTTCATGTTCCAACTGGAACATCTGACGGAGGTCCCTGAGGGACATTCTGAATGATATATAATCCTGAAAATACTAAGCGCGTCCGTGCAGAGATATTTGAAGAAATTTTGCGTCTGAGATTTTTCATGGTTGTTCTACATAGAAGGGACATCATATAAGATCTGAAGTCAGGCCAGGAAATGTTCTACTTGGGATACTCGATGGATATACCAAAAGGAACGTTCACATTTGCACCACGTGGGGCGTCTCAGGATTTGAATTGAAAGGTGCAATGTTCGCAATTACTATGGCTTGAGAACTCCGATTCACTGTTGCTCTCACGACTTGATTTTTGATTCTCAAGTAATATTCCTAGTTCTTTCGCTTGAAGTTGCCATTTCTCTTAATTTCACACCATTTATTTCCTTGTGAGTTCATTTCAATGTGAGTCGTTGTAGGCAAAAAAAATTATATTATGGGATTTGGGTTTGAGGCAGTTCTAAAAAAAATTTATAAATCCTATAGATTTTATTATTGACTTCGATGAATTCATTGTGGCTTATAGGTTCTCATAATCACTCCCACATAGCTAGAATAATGCCAATATTTGTTTCATTATTGCCTCAGTCAAATCCTAATTGGTCTTGCGTAAATTTGGTTTTATGTTTGCTTTATGGGGTATCTTCATTGGATTATTTCAAAACCTGTTGGTCAAATTCTAGACACGAATGAAACTTAAGTATTTCAAGAGGGTTGTTAAGAGTGAATATTTTTGATAAAGAATTTCAATGACTTTCACAGTGCTCTCTTAAAACCGAAGTGAGCTGAATTCCAAATTGTTTTATGCGATAGTTCTATCATAGTATCTGAAAACCTTCAAATAGGATTACATGGACATGGAGGCCAATTTGCTTTTTCCAGGGAATTCATAAAACGGTTGAAAAAATTAGACCTATCATTTGCGTTCACATAACCTCTTTAAAGTCTCATCGAAGCTATTAGGTATTTAAAATGTTACTTGGGTCGTTATTCACAATTATCTTTTTAACATAAAAACTCGCTTGAGGTGGGCATATTGTATTCACCTACCTCACTCTGGGAGACAATAATGGGATATTCTGGAAATGTTCATGTTTACTGAAAAGGTACAACGTGGCGAATTTCAGCTCATTCGGGATCAGACGTCGACAGAGGTTCAGTAGAGCGATAGATCGGAATAATTGTTGGTAGAGGTGTGGGAGTGTATATTTCTCAGGCAATGAACAGCTTGTAATTACGTGATTCAATGCGTTCAATTTGAATTTCCGACACTGACATAGCCCTTCATCAGCAAAGAGAAGTTTCCAAGGTACGTTTCGAACTAATTTTTCTTCCTTTGTTCATGGAGAGAGTTCGTTATAGACTCTTTTTTACGTCTCTACAGTGAACACATCGAAAACGTAACGCAAGACCCACGGAAATGCACAAAAACAACTTTTTTAACGATCTTTTTTCCTACCTCCATAATTTTCACCTGTTTAACGGTAAAAATAACTAAAACTAGTGAGCACATTCTCGACTTTCTCGAAAGTTTAGTTAATGACTCAACGAGGACAATATTGACTCAAGAGTTTTGATCAAACACATGATATTAGGTTTGAAGACTACCGCCTATATGTGTAAAAATTCATGTTTCTGGAACGTGATGCATTATTCGGATTAGTTTGTTGATATTCTCAACCTAACGTATCCAGAAGCGTCAATTTTGATATTTCAGAAAATTGAGTAACGGCAATGAGGAGAGAAGAGGAAGTGTAACTGTCTTCTTCGACACCTTTCCCTATTTTTGACGAAATCATATACTAAACCTCCAGCAAATGACATGGTACAAGCTGTCGTTGAATATTCACCTTTAGTTTTTTAGTGAATATCAATCGTATATAATGAGAATTATATCACATCGTTATCATTTCTGAATTGGCCTCAATATGAAATCAATGTTATCCAAATAATATTTTTTCTTCATTATGTTTGAGGAGATTATCGAATATTGGATGATATTTGCTACGAATATTGATTCCATTCATGTCTTTTATATTTAACTAATATAAGCTCATCAATATAAACCAATTTCAGATGGTTATAACTGATAAAATATATAACAACCAATATTGCACAGATATTGAATTTCTTGGACACAGAAAACGAAAATGGATCTGACACATTATACTTATGTGATATTGTCCCAATATTGCAATTTTTTCAATGAGGCTAATATGCCATCAAATTCTGTATTCGAATTTTGTAGTGAACAGATCATACAATATCAATTGAATAATAATTCAACATATGGATTATATTGCAAGGTCATCACATCCTCATGTTGGCCAATATATTAGGCGAATCAATATTGAATTCACATACGAGAATTATAAGAAACCGGAAGAAGTTGGCATCACGTCTTTGTTCAATCTCGTATACGAATATAAACTCGATATTAGATTGAACCCATCGAAACAAGATTTAAATTCAACATAGCACCAAGATCGCACAATGTTCACATCAATCCATTGGCCCAATGTTTGAAATGAATATGTCCTCAACATTCACTTTATATTGGTTCAATTGTCAGTCAATATCAGTGTTCAACTTGGAAAAATCAAGAAATAGTCAAGGGTATAAAGGAAAATGGCATTATATTGCTGAATAGCCAAAATAAACAATTGCAATCGGACTGGTGGAAAAACGTACTGGATATTTGGAAAAATCAACACTTCAGGTGCTATAAGCGATCTTGAATGACAATACCTACATGTTATTATAATAGTACATAATACAAGCAATATGTCATTGTGAATAATTCTAGATCTTCATCATTGTCAGTCACTTCAGGTGTTCCGCAAGGGTCACATCTTGGTCCTCTCTCGTCCAATACATTTATAAATGACATTCATGAATGCTTTGAAAATACGGATAAACAGCTATACGCAGAAGACCTCAAGGTCTACAAGCCATCACCTACATAGAAGACTATAATATGCTACAAACTGACCTTGAAGATTGCTTCAAATATTGTGAACTGAACAAGTAGAAACTGAATCTCCATAAGTGTCACAAAATCTTATTCACCAGAAGCAAAGTGCCACCTCATTTTGATCTCACACTGAATGGACAATCAATAAATAAAGTTAACTCAATCAAGAACTTAGGGGTTATTCTTGGCACCAAATCAAATTTCGACCCTCATATTGAGAATATCGTTCAAAAAGCACTACGAGACTCGGGTTTTATTTTGAGAGTTACCAAATGCTTCAATCGATCTGAAACAATTATAACACTATATAACCCTATCGTACGAAGCTACCTAGAGTACGCCTCTATAGTATGGGATCCTTCCTATAAGGATAAGATGAATAAAATTGAAAGAGTGCAGAATGAACTAATGAATGTTTTAAATTTTTGTTTCAACAAAAGACGACACTTTTCCTCTTATGAATGTAATGTTACATCTTACAAGATGGAAATTATAAACTTGAGGAGGCAATTCTTCGATATCTGTTTTGTCTATGAAATTGTCAGTGACATCATCGATTCTCCATACTGTACAAGGTTTTCCCTCTTGAATTGTACGCAATATCTTGTGCGACATTGGCTACTATTTTAACCTGGTAGGATAACTACCAATTTCATGTATAATTCTCCACTATATGTATATAGGTGCATGATATTTCATAATTGTTTAGACCAAAATGTGTATTTTCAAGAGAAAGTTGAAGACCGCGCTCTACAACTGAGTGATGATTTCGATTTCTTTTCTTCTTATCCATTTCCCAATATGCAATGTATGTGTGAATTGCAAGGAATATTTCTGATACTTCTTGATGATAGTTCAGAATATATGCGATTATTATAATAGTATCATTAGGGATATCTAGAAACTTCTCTTCTCCTCTTATTTTTTCTATTTATTTCCAATTTTTATATTTATCGAAATGAGTAGGTACCTATCATCCTTGATCTAAAAATATTTATTTCAATTTCGTTAGGGCTATTTGAATTTCGATATCAGTATGGGACTTCATGGCATGGTATTTGTTTTAATTAATTCTGTTTAAATTTTTCAACCTGTGTGCGATTCTATTAGTGGATATAGCTGCGTCTATCTGTTCGCTAATCGCCTAATTCTCCATAATAAAAATTGAAAATGAAATGAAATGAAATATCACTTTAAACCCATCTGGGGTGATACCATATGAGTGCTCGCTTTGATATTGATAGTAAGTAAGTAAACGAGATCCAATTATTTGGGAACATTACGACTCCGCAGCATATTACCTAGAAGCAATTTGTTCGAGTACAAGATTCAGATTCAGATC